CCTACTGAAGTCCTTGTGAAACTAGTACATAACATGTCTGATAAACATGCCCGAATTAAGCAAGGCCATGTCACGGATGGTCACAATATCCTTGGGAGTTTTTTCCCTGACCCATTTTAGGAGACCCCCCCAACTCTGAACACGGGGAGGGTGGACGGTAACATGGGTAGTATCAGTTAAAGATCTACAGGGTCTTCAAATTTCCATAAACCAACACTTAATTCCGGTAAACAAGTCAAACAACGCCCAGAAAGATGTGAAGTGACGAAGGCCACGCTTACGTGTACAGTGATAAATGTACGCCACGAGCTCGCGCGTGCGTTTATGAAATCCTATCAGGACAAAACCGGATCAATACAAAGAGAAAACGGGTAACAGCATATTCTCAAACACCCTACCCCGGGTTAGCATTTCAGTCTCATGTACCAGTAGATGCTAGAGCTACATCTCTGAACAAATCACTCGCCAGGATGTAATTAATCCCTATCTAAAAACACTGAAATCAACTGTTTCAAAAACGATGTACGCAGAGTCGAATGAATAATTTCAACAAAATAACTGTTATCTAAAACATTCTGGTCAACCCTCATGCTAAACGATAGTGACCCCTTGTAAACCCTCATGCCAAACGGTAGTGACACCTTAAAGGCCAGAAAACAACCTAGTAAACACTCATGCCAAACGATAGTGACCTCTTAAAAGACAGGAAACAACCAAGTAAATCCTCATGCCAAACGGTAGTGACACCTTAAAGGCCAGAAAACAACCTAGTAAATCCTCATGCCAAACGATATTGACCCCTTAAAAGACAGGAAACAACCTAGTACATCCTCATGCCAAACGGTAGTGACACCTTAAAGGCCAGAAAACAACCTAGTAAATCCTCATGCCAAACGGTAACGACCCCGTAAAGGCCAGAAAACAATCTAGTAAACCCTCATGCCAAACGATAGTGACCCCTTGTAAACCCTCATGCCAAACGATAGTGACCCATTAAAGGCCAGAAAACAATCTAGTAAACACTCATGCCAAACGATAGTGACCCCTTAAAAGACAGGAAACAACCTAGTAAATCCTCATGCCAAACGGTAATGACCCCTTAAAGGCCAGGATTCATTGCAAACCTAGAACACAACCTGAACCATGAGGGGAGAAATGAGTCATGGCAGAACTAATACAACCTGGTTTAGGTTGTAGTTCTGCCATGACTCATTTCTCCTCCCCTCTTGGTTCAAGTTGTGTGCAAAGAAATGAGTCATGGCAGAAC